GGGTCATGAGAAGTGGAGTCAGATGTTTCAAGTGCAGGTCTGAAAGGACCCAAGAAGGAAGTGCACGTTTTAGTCATTGTCCAGGCTTGGGGAGCAACCCCTGTTAGCAACGCACCAGTTAAGTATGAACTTGCTAGTCCTGGACTCTTCCCCCTTCTTTTTGCAACCTGAATTCGAAGGGGATTCTAGAGGGATAGAGAGAAGGATCCTTTCATGCTTTTTGGAGTTCCATAGCTTGGCTGCATGGGACCCTTTCTGGGGAGGTGGAGGGAAAGTGTAACTGTGAATGAAGCTTGAAGTGTTGATCAATGGCATTTACATTAAAATTAAAGCTGCATATTGTGATTTAAACTGACCAAATGATATTACCTGTGAGCCATCAGAAAAGTTTTGGGATCACCCAAGTTTTCATCCAGGGTTGGGGACAGATCTCCTCACACTGAATCCCTGTGGAAGGGATGGTGGCAGATCGAGGTTTGCCATCTGCTTCCCTTCACTCCTCTGTCCTGCTTGTTCTGCAAGCTGGTCTCATCTGAGCCCAGAGCAGCAGGCTAGTTCACTGACACTCACAGACTTGGCAGGAGCATTTACTCTTTAAATACATCAAGGTCAGGAGGCACACTTCAGACAGGGAAACAGGAAATTACTAGAAGACCTGAACAAGAATGGCAACTTGAAACTGGAAGAGACAAGGGTACTAGGTGTCTGGAAGCCAACTGAAGTAGAAAGATGTCTAGAGCATGTGGGAAATTACCATCCAAGCCTTCAGCCTTGGCCTCTAGGTCTCCAGTTTACTATAAACAACAGGTGAAGACTTTCAGTAACTAGAAAGGAAGCCTCATTGACTAGCGATTGAAAATGTCGGGGGTGCAATGAATGCCGGTCTGGTAATCTGCCCAGTGTATCTTCTCTGGGAAACCTCTGCTCATAAACAGGGATGGGCCCTGGCAGCCATATTGGTCCCCTGAAGCTCCCATCACCTATGATTAGCGTTAGGGTTAGGCAGGTGATTTAGTCCCTGTGGGTGCAGCTCTGGAACATCATTTCTCTGACACTGGGACATAGGAGCCAGGAAAGCTGGTTGTCAGAATAGGAGAACAGAGCACAGGTGTAGACAGAGCATCTGCTATGGATAAAAAATTCCACTGAGTTCCTCCTGGCTTTTCGGGTCTGGGATCTGGGTCTTCCTGAGGGCTAACTTATTTTTGCCCTTGGGTTCTACTATACATCTAATCTATCTATCAACTTTCTATTATCTATCTATCTATCAACTATCTATTATCTATCAACTATCTATTAATCTATCTATCATCTATATTCTGTTGCCCAGGCTGGAAAGCAGTGGCACAATCTCTGTTCACTGCAGCCTAGAACTCCTGGCCTCAAGCAATCCTCCCACCTTAGCCTCCTGAGTAGCTAGGACTACAGCTGCGTATCACCATACCTGTCTAATTTTTAAATTTTTTAAAAGATGTCTTGCTGTGTTGCTCAGGCTGGTCTTGATCTCCTGGCCTCAAGTAATCCTTCCACCTTGGCCTCCAGAAGTGTTGAGATTATGGGCATGGGCTACTGTACACAGCCTCTTCTATTTATATAATGAGTTTCTGTCCTCTATTAGGGTGAAGAGATAGCTTTTCAGTGACTTTGAAGCATTGTGCCAAATATTTCAAATATCACATTTTTAAATCTTCTTACTTTTTGGTTTATTTAGTTGCTGCAAATTTTGACTTATCTGTCACTAATCGACTGGATGTACTGAGATACTTTGCCATTTCCTAATGCCTGGCACTTTCTCTTTCTGGCCCTCCATAGTGAGGGTTGGCTGTCTTCCCTTATAGGTATCTGCTAACGCTGGAGGCTCAACTGATAAAGACAGCCATGCCAAGAAGCAGACAGAAAGGCTGGGGCTAACAGAACAGATCTCTACTCCAGGGGCTTCAACTCTGTCCTAGTTCTGGTCAAACAGGATTAATACTGCTCACTGTTACTATCCTAGAAGGACTGTCATGGTTAAAAGTGTGCATTTACTATTTTCAGTGTCTTTTGTTGCTGGAATAAAGGAGATAATAATACGAAACAAAAATCAGCTTGCTTCTCCTCATATGTTGCTCAGCTCCCAAGCATTCAGAATGTCGTTACTAATTAGACATTTGTTTTAACATTCTGGGTCCATCCAGGCTAGGCAAGCTTGTGATGTGGGGAAAGTTGACTTGTTATGCAATGGTCCCTATGGCTTTGCATTAGATCCCCTGCTCCCTCGCAGGTGCTGAATGCTCTTCTGTTGTTCTCTGGGTCTAGAACCCTGTCCCTTTTCTCTGGGATGGCTCCTACTGATTTTTCAGCTTATTCCTCATTTGCTGCAGGACAGTCCCCTTGGCCCCATAGTACTTTTGATTTCCCCATCATCTGTGCAGTAAGAGTTTCTCCATAGATCCACCAGAGTCTTGTCTTATTCATTGTTATATCCACAGATCTAACCTATTCCTAGCAAACAGTAGGTTCTTCCTGGATTTATTCCTGATGGATTGGCTTAATGAATGAATGCTCATTTTACTGGTGGCTCTGAAAAAGGAAAAAAAAAAAAAAATGATTTTACTCCACTATCAGCAACTTGATGTTGCCCCTGTGAGGAATCCTTGTAACAAAATACAAACTTCTTATTATTGCCTACAAGGTCCTCACCTCCTCCTCCAACCTGTCTAGTAGTACTCTCCTTATGCACCATGATACCCATGCTGGCTTTCTCTCTGTTTCTGTAATACGTTACTTTTCTTCCTACTTCAAGGCCTTTGTTCTTGCTATTTTATCTGCCCTGGAGTTTTGCTAAGTTGGTGTTTTCTTATTTAGGTGGTGCCTCAAATCTTAGAGCATTTCTCTTAGATCATTTTTCCTTAAAGCATTTTTCTCCCTTCCCAAAATTAAGTGTGTCTGCCATTCCTCTGGTCACTGTTTTCTTCTTTGCCCTGATCCCGGTCTGCAAGTTCATCTTTTTATTGGATCATTGTCCATCTTCTACTGATAAAAATAGCTGCAAGTCTGTCTTGTTCAAGGCTATACTCTGAGTGCTTAGTAGAATGCCTCGTTCATTGCAGCATCTAGTATTTGATAATTAATATTGATTACATGTTTGATGAGTAAATGAAAAAAAGAATAATCTTAGACATAAATTATTTAATCCCAGTGAAAGAATGTTAGTGGTGGAATTTCAGATGTTATTGTAGAAGAAACTTTTGAAGGGTATTTTTTCCAGTTTGTTCATATTAGGTTAAGTTCCTCTTCTTTTCCTTACACTATGTAAAAATATTAGATCTCAAAACTATTTGCTCAAAGTACTTACTTTAGGACACATACTTTTAGACTACAGTTTAGAATTACAGTTATTAGAAAGGTTTGGTAAAAACTCTTTTTGTTAGGCAATAAGGTTACTCTGTCCTCCAAAGAGCTTTACCTTATTGTCAGGAAGTAAGAGAGAAAAAAGAATTTTTTGTCTTCTTTGTATCGGGTGTTTTGCCCTTCTCTTTAAGTTTATGTTTACCTTAACATTCCTTTCCTTCCTCAGGTTTGCTATCTCCATTTTTCACTATTACGTAATTCACAGAGTTGCTGGGGTAAGTGCTTAATTTCAAATAGCCTGTTTTAGAACTTTGTGAGAATGACAAGAACAAACAGAACATTAAGGCAGCTAGAGAGAGTTAAGTGAGAGTGGTCCCTAGGTGAGAAATGCTTCCTGCCTTCTAGGCTGACACCAGTTCTGGGGGATGTGTTCTGAGAGCTCATATTAACTGCAGGTCATTGCTCCTTATCTCAATCCCCTTCCTCTCCCTTCAGCTTTCTGTTCAAAATCTCTGATCATGTCTTGAAGTGTTGTCACATTATTTTTTTTTCTGATAATTCCCTCCATTAGCTGAGCTTTCCAATTTATATTACCTGATTTTTTTTTTTGTCTTCTGCTTTTTTAAAACCCCCTTTTCTAAAGCTTTATTGATTGTGTACTTTGGATTCTAATTCTTCCTATCAGAGTCTTTCTTTAATTCTGTTTGCAGTGTGGTGCTGTCTACATGATGTGTTGGTTACATGATAGGAAGGAGTATGGGGGCAGCTCGGTCACATCTGTAAAGTTCTTTAAGAGAGCTGAAGGGCGCTGATACCAGTTCACGTTTTTTTGGGTAGCCCTCAGATATTGAGCGTATTTACTGTATTTTCTTCTATTGTGAAAGAATCAGTTCTCTGAATTTCCTTAAAGTTTGTCTTTACCATTCTCCACACTCTACTTATTTTTCTATTTAAGAATTTTTTTTTCTAATCATGTAGTACATGTTCAATATGGAACACAAAAAGGTAATAAGAAAAAAAGTCACCTACAGTGTCGCCAAAGGTGAAAACACCTTGTCTTTCTTCGTGCATAACAATATCCCTCTCAATCTTATGCAGCATTTTTAAACCTAGGAGACCTCTCTAAATCCAAACGAAGTTAAAGATTACGTTATTCACCAAGTTCATACTGAAATTAGAGAATCGCAGGAGCTTAGGAAAATGCGCATCTGGCGAATGAACCTGCGTATCCGGGGTTCTCTTCAGGGAGGTTGCTCGTCCATGAAACACACCCCAGCCTGCAGCCACCTGGGTGTGGGGAACCAAGGGCTAGCGAACCAGGCAAGCAGGGGCGGAACTTGCGGGGACTGCGGGTAGGAGGAGGAACTACAGAGCTGTCACCAATCAGAGCCCAGCTTTGTTTTCTCTTGCCGACCAATGAGGGAGTTCTGCTGGAGGGGCTGTCTTCAAGTCTGAGACGCCTACCGCCTTTGCAGCCTATCAGCAGGCCCCTCTTACCCCGCGGGCGGTGCGACTCCGCCCCGCCCCTCCAGCCTCGGCCCCGCCCCCCCGAGGGTGGGGGCCGTGTTGGTTACTAGCAGGGCTGGAGGCGGGGGCCGGGCTCCCACTGGGCTCGTGCGTTCTGCGCCCGCCGCGGCGGTGCAGAGCCCGCTGGCTCCCGATTGTCCTCTGCGGCGGTGGCGGTCGCTGTCTCCTTGCCTCGGGGCCCGGGGCTGCAGGGGCCAGAGCGAGTGCGCCTCCTGCCCGCCGACCGCGGCTGCCCAGAGCAGGTAATGGGGCGCCGCTGGGGAGCGCCTGTCGGAGCCCCGGGCTAGGTGCGGGCGGTGGGGTCGGCCCCCGAAGCTGCTCCCAGCGCTGGCGACCGGGCCGAGCGGGGCCCCGGTCCTCCGGAGCCTCCTGCCGGCCTCTAGGCGCCTTAGCCCGGGAGCCCGCGGCGGGCACCTTGTGGGGAGGTGGGGGCGGGGCCGGGGCAGGGGCGGGGCCGCCTCGGGCGGGACCCTGAGGACCTCTGGAGACCCCTGGTGACTCGCGGGACTCCGGGCTGGGGCGGCGACGGGGCCGACCCAGGGCGGGGAAGACCGGCAGGTGGAGGGAGAACTGCGGAGTTGAGTCAGAGTCCGGCTCCCCGGGGAAAAGAACCGACTGAAAGGGAGCGATAAGCTGGTTTTTTTCTTCCCCTAAGCCAGAAAGGCGTCTTCACTTGGGTCGTGTTAATTACATGTTTTCTGAGAACAGGCGTTTGGCCGTGTAATGCTGTCTACACGATACCATTATTTATTTACTTATTTTCTATTAAAAAAATTAAAAGCAGCCTTTAGCGTGAATCTGTGTGGGGGCTTTTGCTTAAGTGACAGGTAGACCCAGCCGAGTAACTCACCTTTGTCTGGGCTGAAGTGGGGAGCGGTGAAGTAGGAATGAGGGGGAGGAGTGTTCGTGAGGAATGCCTGTGCAGGTTTGAAAGGATTGTGGGGGTGGGACCTTGTTTCTGTCACTGTGCCATGGGTGGGAGTAGAATTGTGATTTTTTTTTCTTTTTCTAATTTTTAAAAACAATATTCACATTAAAAAAGGGGGGGGCTCTCTTAACAGTCTCTGAACTCGAAGCTTTGGGGATGCACCTGCTAGTCAGGCAGTAATAGTTTGCAGGTAAATCCTGGGCTATTAATTACGTGATTTGATTTACTTATAAAGAAGTATCTTGAATTGTTGTTACCTTTCCTTTGACGTGCTCAGTATATTGCTTGTTTACAAGTGAATTGATGAAGGTCACTGAGTTTTAGCGGTAATGTCACAGCGATGGCCCTTGGCGAGTTTTCTATGCTCAGGTTCACTCTGGTTCTACAAAAACGGTATTTCCGCTTAACTGTGAAGCTCATAGCACTCTATCAATTATATAGTATGCCATTCTCTTACTCTTCTGAGGCAGGCTGTGCGTAGCATGTCCATTTTACAGGTATGTCAACTGAAAGCCCTGGAGATGAAAGGAATCCTGCCTCAGTTTACTCCTACTTTATTTTATACCTGTAATGGATGTAATCCAAAATCTAGGTAAGATTCCTGCCATCAAGCCAGCTTTTGCATACCAATTCGATCCCATGTACACAGGTCAGAGGTGGAGATGGTTATTTTCAAGTAAAGGAATATTGTCTCTGAGGTTTTTCTTTCCATCCAGGTTGCTAAGCTAGTTTGAATTTCAGGTGAAAGGTAATTTTCCACATAGGCAAAACAAACGAAAGTTAGTAGTGCTGTGTGAAAATCTCTATTTTAAATTTTGGGAAGCTTTCCAAATTAGAGAACCTTATCTCTAGCTCAGCATCGAATTTCGGTACCGTTTTTTGAATTGAATAGAAATAATTGATATGCAGAAGGAAAATACTAATGAAGTGAAGTGCATTTTGATCATGACTTATGACTTTGTTTTGGGAAGTGTTTACTGTACATTTATAGACGGGTTGAAAATTAATTTCTTGATTAGAATAACTCGACCAAAGGAGTTTGGGCTTTAGTGTGGGACAGGCTGAAATGGGTAGTTGGGAGTAATCTCTTGCATGATGTTAAGGCTTAGGGAATTCTAGAGAATTGTTAGGTTATGTTAAATTTACTAGTTATCAAGAACATGAAAATGTCTTATGGATTACTGAAGGGAACTCTTTTTTTTTTTTTTTTTTTTTTTTGGAGGTAGAGTCTCACTCTGTTGTCAGGCTAGATACAGTGGCTCATTGTGATCTCTACTGCTCTCCTAGATTCAAGCGATTCTCCTGCCTCGCCTCCCGAGTAGCTGGGACTACAGGTGCATGCCACCACGCCCAGCTAATTTTTTTTTCTATATTTTTGTAGAGATGGTGTTTCACCATGTTGGCCAGGCTGGTCTCGAACTCCTGACCTCAAGTGATCTGTCAGCTATTTTTTTTTTTTTTTTTCTATATTTTTGTAGAGATGGTGTTTCACCATGTTGGCCAGGCTGGTCTCGAACTCCTGACCTCAAGTGATCTGTCTGCCTTGGCCTCCCAAAGTGCTGGGATTAGAGGCGTGAGCCACTGCACCTGGCCTGAATGTAACTGTTCTAATCATGAAGTTATCTGTTGTTTTGTGGCTAATACCTCTGTTTCATATGTACATTTTAACATATTCATGTAACATATAAGGCAACTCTTACACAAGGCTGTCACTCTAGCCCTGCATTTATTTACTGATTTATGTTTTAGTGGCTTTATTTAACTTTTACTCTCCTGTCAAAATTTCTAGCACCCAAGCAAAAATTTCCATAAAGGAACTTTTATCATCTGTTGATTATACAGAAAATGAATCATTTATTCTCATAAGCCCAGCCCTCTTGTAGCGTGGGACACTGGAAAGATATTTTGGCTGTTTGTAAAGTATTTGCCTGTATTCTTACCTGAAGCTTTGACTCCTCCCACTCCCCCAATGGTTTTCAGAGTTTCTGTGACTTTTTTCTTTTTTTAAATTAATTACAACACTACCTGACTTCCACTAGATGGTGCACTGGGGGCTGCTTATTGGAGTTTTCAAACAGATTTTTGTTTTTCCTTGTTATAAACATTTCACTGAAAAAGATACAAAGGTACTGCAACTGTTTCTCTCCTAATTGCAATTCAGACAGAGTTGTAATGAATGACTTAAGTCTTGAGTTTTATTAAATGGGATCAGTTCAGAAGGAAAGGGTGTTCCTTCACTTTGAATTTAAAGTGAAGGAAATTGTTAATCAGGCTTGCTCTCTGAAGATTCTGTGTTTTTTACAAACTGAAGGTTTGTTGGCACCCCTGCAAGTCTGTTGGTGCTATTTTTCCAATAGGATATGTTCATTTCGTGTGTCTTTGTCATATCTTGGTAATTCTTACAATATTGCAAACCTTTTCATTGGTATTCTATCTGTTATGGTGATCTCTGGTCAGTGATCTTTGATGTTACGATTCTAGTTGTTTTGGGGCTTCATGAACCACACCTGTATAATATGGTGAACTTAATTGATAAATGTTGCATATGTTCTGATATCTCCACCAACTGGCCATTCCCCATCTCTCTTCCTCACTCCAGGCCTCCCTATTCCCTGAGACACAACAATATTGAAATGAGGCCAATTAATAACTCTACGTTGGCATCTAAGTATTCAAATGAATGGAGAGTCGCATGTCTCCCACTTTAAATCAGAAAGCTAGAAATGAGTGAGCTTAGTGAGGAAGTCATGACAAAAGCCAAGACGGGCCAACATCTAGGCCTCTTGCCCCAAACAACCGAGCTCTGAATGCAAAGGATAGGTTCTTGAAAGAAATTAAAAGTGCTACTCCACTGAACACCCCAATGATAAGAAAGGGAAACAGCTTTATTGCTGATACAGAGAAGGTTTTAGTGGTCTGGGTAGAAGAAGAAACCAGCCACAGCATTCCCTTAAGCCAGCAGAGCAAAACCCTAACTCTTCAATTCGCTGAAGGCTGAGAGAGGTAAGGAAGTTGCAGAAGAAAAGTTGGAAGCTAGAAGAGGTTGGTTCATGAGGTTTAAGGAAAGAAGCTGCTTCCCTAACATAAAAGTGCAAGGTGAAGCAGCAAATGCTGATATAGAAGCTATAGCAAGTTATCCAGAATATCTAGCTAAGATCATTGATGAAGGTGGCTACACTGAACAACACATTTTCAGTGTAGACGAAACAGCCTTATATTGGAAGAAGATGCCATCTTGGATTTTCTTAGCTAGAGGGAAGTCAATGCCAGGTCTCAAAGGCCAGGCTGACTCTTTTGTTTGGAGCTAGTGCAGCTGGTGACTTTAAGTTGAAGCCAGTGCTCATTTACCATTCCAAAAATCGTTAAGCATTATGCAAAATCTACTCTGCCTGTGCTCTATAAATGGAATGACAAAGCCTGGATGACAGTACATCTGTTTACAGCATGGTTTACTGAATCTGTTAAGCTCACTGTTGAGACCCACTGCTCAGAAAAAAAGGTACCATTGAACAGTGCTGTTCATTGACAATTCACCTGGTCACCCAAGAGCTCTGATGGAGATGTACAAGGAAATTAATGTTTTTATACCTGCTAACACAACACCCACTCTGTACCCATGGATCTAGGAGTCATTTCAACTTTCAAGACTTATTATTTAAGAAGCACATCTTGTAAAGCTATAGCTGCCATAGATAGTGATTCTTCTGATGGATCTTGGCTAAGTAAATTGAAAACCTGGAAAGGATTCACAGTTCTAGATGCCATTAAGGGCATTTGTGATTCAAAGGAGGAGGTCAAAATACCAACATTAACAGGAGTTTAGAAGAAGTTGATTCCAGCCCTCATGGATGACTTTGAGGGGTTCAAGACTTCAGTGGAAGAAGTACCTGCAGATGTGGTGGAAATAGTAAGAGAACTAGAATTAGAAGTGAACCCTGAAAATGTGACTGAATTGCTGCAATCTCATTATCAAACTTGAATGGATGAAGAGTTGCTTCTTCTGAATGAGCAAAGAAAGTGGTTTCTTGAGAAGGGAATATGTTCTTGGTGAAGATGCTGTGAACATTGTTGAAATGACAATGAAGGATTTAGAATATTCTATAAACTTAGTTAACTAAGCAGTGGCAGGGTATGATAGGATTGACTTCAATTGTGAATGAGGTTCTACTGTAGGTAAAATGCTACCAAAAGAGAAATCTTTTGTGAAAGGCAGAGTCAGTCGATGTGGCAAACCTCATTTTTTTTTTTTTTTTGAGACGGATTCTCGCTCTGTTGCCCAGGCTGGAGTGCAATGACGTGATCTTGGCTCACTGC